CTTAAGAGTTGGTATTTTTTTTTGCTGGAAACTACTATAGGGAAAAGTACTTAATGTTGGGTAGTTTTTCATCTCCGTTTAAGGGATTAGCCAAATAAGCCTATAGTACCGAACACAGCTGTAGAAACTCACTCAAATTTTAGTTCCGATTATGACGTTTACTCATATTCGAGTAATCTGATAAATTTCCACTAAAACATAGATCAAAACACACGGGAAAACTTTCCGAGATATTTGGTTTATGTTTCCAAGGGAAGTCGAAGAAAAACTTCCATGGCATGTTGCAAGTAGCTTCTGCGAAAATTTGAAAGAAATATCCGGTGGAAATAGGAAGCAAACTGGAATGGGAATTAAAAGCGATAACAGCTGCAAGGAACTTCCGCGGCAAGTTGGAATAAAGTTCCGGGAAACGACGGAATATACCTGGAAGAAATTTTAAAAACATCCAAGCGGAAGTCAGAAGTTTTTTTTTAAGGAAGTGATTAAATTTCCGGGGGATGCTGATTGAAACTTCCTAGGTATGTCAGAAAATCCGACGGAGGTCTGAAAAAACTTTTGGGAATAGTCGGAAATCCAAGAAAAGTTCCGGAAGAACTCGAAAGGCAGTTCCAGGGGAAGTCAGAAAAACCGTCCAAGGGAAGTGATAAGAAACTTCCGGGAGAATTCGGTTACAACTTCCTGGAAATCAGAAGCAAGATATTCCTAGAGAGATACTTCCTGTACTAATTGGACATTTGAAACCTTCATGATTTTTCATTTGGATGGATCTGGGCACTCTGGTCTCAAGCGATTTTATGTTGCAAGCAAGGAATCAAAAATATCTCCAAATGACAAAATGACAAGCGATCAACGAACCGAATGATAACGCTAAGTCAGATGTGGAAAGCAATAATGATAATCTTTTTCCTTCTTTTTCATCACAAGCAGCCCGTGCGAATCAACTCACTCGGGGTGGTAGGAGGAAACGAGCAAATTGTTGGCAAGCTGCTTCACGAAGTAAAGCCAAAGATGATACACGTGTGTTAATGGGATTTTTTTTGTTATGTCTTTTCTCGCTTCAAATCAGGCTATGTCCTCATCCGTGTATATTGCAACAAAGCAGGCAAGCAATGTATCATTATCGTTCTACCACTCCGATCTAGTTATGTTGCAGAGCGAGATTGTCATGGTAGTCGTAGCAACCGATTTTGTCTGTATCGTTGATTGCTTTATGTGTTTGGATTCGCTGGTTGCAAGTCAATGGAAAACTGCTTGAAACTAAATCTTCGTCAGTTGAATTCTGTTAAAATCTCTGAGTCATGAGGCCATCAAGTTTGTTTACATTCCTGTTTCTCCAGAGTATGTTTTGTTAGAATTAAAACGCTATTTTTTATGGTTTGCAAATTGGTGTTGGTGTCTGCTGTTGAGCTTTCAATTAATAATAGCTTTGTTCAATACGAGCTCAAAACAGATCGTAATAACCTACGAGTTCGTTTTGGCATTCATTCAGCTGTTCCGAGCTACTCCGAGTTGCTTATACAGTCAATCCATAGTAAAACGATATAGTGGTTCTCAGAAATTCAGAAAAAATAGGATGTCCATTTCCATGTTAGGGAGGTCAAAAAAATAATTTTTTTTTTCAAAAATTACGTTTTTCAAAAATTTATAACTTTTGAACCATTGCACAGTGGTTCCCCTTAGAACAAAAGTTGGCCAAAACCTCAAAATTGCTGTAAATAGACAAAAAAAAACAGTTGAAATAGATGTTTTTTAGCTGTACGAAGAAAACTTGACAATCAAGACGTCACAAAAAGGAGTATAGTAGAACAAAAACCAATGCATTGGGCCAATTTCAATGATCAAAATATCAAATAAAAGTTATTAAAAATGCTTTTTTTAATAATTAGGGCAGAGAACTACTTCGGCCTAATAGCCCATTTTGGGCCTATGGAGCAGAAAACTTCAAATAAATCCATGAATTCGGAGCTTACAAGTAAATTATCCGTTTGGTACGATACTTTAGTTAATAAGCTACGGAACAAAGTCAATGAAAATGCGTGATATGAAGACTTGCACCCATTATTCCCAAAAACAAAAGAAGCACTCCGACCGAATCAATTTTTATCTTCATCTGATAGGCCGAAGTGAATTCATTGGCGTTTCAATTGCTTTTCAATGCGTTAGGCCGAGTTTAGAATCCGTAGGCCGAGTTTGGCGTCAAGAAGCAGTGTTAGACTTTTAACAATATCTCAACGATTGGTTTTTCTTTATCAAATTTTACGGACATACGGAAAGGTAAATAAATTTGGAAGCCATCAGTAATAATAACATTCCGTTTGTTGCTATACTGCGCTAGATTAAGAAAGACTAAGTGCGGGTTGTGCTTAATAGGCCGAAAATGGGGTAGTTAACCCTACAATGATTTTAAAAATTGTGTTTTTTTATTGAAAACCATTGCTACCGAAGCGTACAAAGCCAAGACAAAGAAGAATCCCTTTTACGAAAATCATGTTTGGTCCAAAGTTGGTGCTTCATCAAACGCAAACAAATGTTCAACGTTTGTTTAAGTTTCTTGAAAGCTCAGCTTTGGTCCCCATGTAGCGTATTTTTCTACATGGCTGGTCACCCTAAAATACTACGTCATTTATGCATCTTCCATTTTTGGTTTTTATCAATTATTTTAAAATATTTCGGGATGAAGATAACTTTCCAAGTAACCACGAAGTCAGCTAATAGCCCAATAAGGACCCTTTTTGCAATATAGGGCTTCCAAGTTTTAGTCAGCCTTATATCAGCTATATATTGCAAAAAGGGCTGTTTTCGGGCATGTTGGTTACTTGGGCTTTTAGAAATTTATTGCTCAGAACCATAACCATTAGTGGGAATGACACTGATGAAGACTGTACATTGTAAAGAAATACGTATCGGTCATAGATACAAAATACTAAGTGCAATTAACTGCAAAATTATCATTTTTTTAATTCGCCATCAACTCAATTCATAACTTACACAGTAACTTTTATTTGTTGAATTTGGCACACAGTATAAATATAAATAGTTAATCCATATCCGATTACACCAATGCTGCACGCATCTCGATCAAATATTTAAGGCTGTTGAAGCATGCCAAATGAATATTTCATCAGATGAATTATTTGTCCTCTATCTCTCATTTAGGAGAAATCAATCGGTGCGTTTGATCCGGATGTTATTCCACGTGACATCAATCAAGATTATGCTAAATACAAAGCAAATCGTACGGCGAAACATCCTTTTCACTTTAAGATCACGAACAACGAAACGCATATACTTACGAGATGTTTTTAACAACCAGCAGGAGAAAAGAGGCAAAAATCCGCTACCATTCACTACGGAGCGCCAAACGGTGTCGTCGTGCGTCCGAGTGTGGTCATGATTTGAATATCAACTAGCCTCGGTTCGATTCTGGGCAAACCCGTCTGGCACCTAGTTGAATGTGAAACGAGCACACCGAGAGAAAATCGCTTCTTTTTAATTTACACGATAAACATTAATAAGTAATATTTCAAGCAATGCTGGTGAAGGGCTGAGTCATTTACAACGTTGCTTACAACGTTGTTTCACTCGCACGTGGATTAGGGCTTGTTCGATCGATCGATCGATCGAACGGATGGATGGCCGGTTGATCGATGAAGACCGACGTGCTAGATAATGTGACGGTTGACCGTTAGTTTAGTTTGCAATTTTGTATTTGTGTGAAATCAATATCCAAGACGATCAACAGAAGGATGATGAGCTGAAAATAGTTTGAAAATCATTAAATTTATCATCCGTGAGCAGAGTAAACTTTTGAGACCGCAAGCAGGTGTGATCAAGCAACAAAATCAACGGATTTGAACAATATCGTTGGTAGTGCGAGAAGTAGTTGCAACAATGGGCCACCGGAATGGTTGGTTAACGGAGGTGGTGCGTAGAAATATTTGTCGGTTTGTTTCAATTATTTTATTATGGCACTGCAACCGCTATGTTGTGTCGTGATTCAATGTCAATATGCGCACACGTATGGCCGAAGTTGCTGCATAATCATGCGTCGTAGGGGTCTATTAAAGCAGTACTGATTCCATTTTTACGGCTTGGGAAGCGACGCATGCATCGGCAAAGTTGAATCATATGAAACATCAGATTTTTTTTCCAGTACAAGAAGAATTTCAATTGATTGCGTTTGTTAAGAGCCCATTGTTGCATTTCTATGTAGTTTTCGTGGGAGTGGGAGTTATTTTCTAGCCATATCATCCAGTGCAGATTTCATGAGTGATAGTCATCAGCTAAACAAGTTTGCAGTTGGTTGTAAAATATTTGTTCAGAGAACAATTTACCAACTTGCTTATATAGTTTTCCTTGTTGGGAAGGGAAGTAAAGCTGTTGGTCCCCGGTTCATGAGTTGATGGATCAATATGTAACTACTTTTACACGAGACGTAATCCATATTGGACGTAATTCATGGAACGTAAACAAACATTTCATGTAAAATTAAGTGATCTCAAACCGAAACATCAGCTAGTCGGCAAAGAGAACGTTTGATTGAATTGATTTTCACGTTTCTTCCAACTGATTCTTATGTCAAAAGGCCCACTTACATGTGTCGGTCTCAGTGTGTGTGTAACACCACATACTATTAATTTGACTCATAAATTTCATGTGTGCTTCTGGAGGGATTCTGTTTTTGTGTGGTCACAAGAAAATCATGTGGAATTTCTCATGGAAATTCGTCAATAAAAATGTGTGGAACTTTATTAGTGTATGAATGTTATAAAATTTTACGTCGTGTCGGAAAATTCATGTTAATATACAATTGACTGTGTGATTTTCAGTTTTGTGCATAATTTCAACTGTTTAAGTTTATTTCTATCAGTTTCAATAATAAATTAGACGCAACGAAAGATTTTCTTGGAAACTTGTTTTTTTTTTATTCTTTAAAATACCTATAGCCTATTTATATCACATTTATACATTTGTATTTACAGAATGATAACACAATGCTTTCAGTTGAAAGGACAATTCATCGCTTGCTCCATGTGAACACAGAATCCTCCAGTGGCCCTGAAATCAACGTGCAATTCGAATGACAAAAACTCAACTCAACACAATGCGATCGCTACTCACTCGTCTGGCGTGTCCTGTCCTATGTGGTAATATTTCATCCTACCCCGTATTCGACTGGAGTATCGTAAAGGTGCAAACGGTATCCGATTGTTGCGCACACAAGCCGTCGGGCAATCGAAAGCCATCGTTCGTGAACCGGAAAATACTGCATTGGCTAGGTAGCATACACTTAGGAAGTGGCTGCATCGGGCACGCTCTATTCGAACATTGAAGAATTTTTGAATGATCATTCCTCGTTATCGATCACATCATACTTACTAATGGAATTGCCCGTACAGTACGGCTGGGTCTGGCCACCGTTGATGCAAAAATCTATCGTTCCGGTAAACGAGCTCTGCCCGAGGAAGCCCGCATTGGTGTGAATAATCTGCACCACCTTGGCATCGTCTTTGGTCAGGCGGAACCGATTCGATGCGTGCTTCTCTATCAGCGGCCGTGCTGGATCTAAACCTGGTGATTGTGAGCATAATTCGCGAAAACAAAGTCAACGGTTAAACAAACTATGCTGTGTCTCTGCTTATGTGCAATTAAGTTACTTATTGTCACAACGGAAATACAAAACGGTACAATCACGATCCACGAGCTGTCAATCAAACATAATTCCTTCACAAGGAAACTCGTCGTAGTTCGATGTAACCCCGCAAAGCGCAAACCCACCGTCGTCTCTACCTACCTATTATTTTGTACTGGCGTTTGGTTAAATGATGGGACATCATGCCGCAGATGTGGGCACCGAGTGAATGACCCACGCACGTGATCTGCTTGCTGAGGCTCCCAGTGAAGGTAATAAAAGAATACAGCTGTGAAAATGCATCTTTTTAGCAAACAATTGATATCAATTGAACCATGTGTTAACAATACTGCCACCCGTGTTAGGAGATATGGAAATTCATAAAAAGCATAATTACCTGGGCCGTACATTGCGAGACTAGCTTCGTGTTGGAGAGTGACGACAGGTAGCACGGGTACTGCGAGATCCGCTCCCAATCCACGGCGAACACGTTGTACTTGCGAGAGAGGTAAGCTTATGGGGTGAATTTTGTTGTGCGAGAGCGAAACGAAATGAATGAGCATTTGTTAGGTTTTTTGGGTGAATTTAGTCGAAGGTGTAGGAGAGCTTTCGAGAGCTTTTAAGGCTGTATGTTTGTAGGCCCTTCTGGGGCTGGTACGTTGTTTATAACTCGATAAAGTTGGACACCATGCAACTATGCACCATCATGGTTAGTTGTCTTTATTAAAGAGGCGTTCTGCAGTCCGCATTTGATTTGCTCACGGACTAACAATCCATCATCCGAGAAAAATTCTAGTAAACTTTCCCGGCTTAATGCCAAGAAGGAAAAGATTCCCCCTATTGTGATAACCACTTCCGATTTCCATGCTCTTCGCATGGAACTTTTGAATCGTGAAAGTTAACCCAACTAACAATTTTAGCTGCAGATAAGCTTATACAGCCAAAATTTGCCTTCTGCAGCTAATTTTTGCTTGTATAAGCTGATCGGCAGCTAAAATTGTTTGTTGGGAAGTTTTCACTACAAATTGGACGTCGGGGTGAATGTCGTGTATTGGCTGAAACCTTGGACGGCTTTAAATGTCTTCTCAAGTATCTTACTGAGAAGAAGCACAATTTTTTTACTTACGACACCAAAACTGAACGTGTGTTCAAGGTTGTCATGAAAGGACTGCCCAGTGGTGAATCCCTGGATCAGATCAAAGATGACCTGGCAAAATTACTTGGAGTTGTGCCACTCCAAGTAATCAAAATGAAAATGAAATCCCGTCCTGGCGATTCGCGCAACGGGATTTCTAATGATTTTTATTTAGTTCACTTCAAGTCTAGTGAACTAAACAACCTTAAGGCCTTAGAAAAAGCTAGCGACTAAAATATATACGTACCCTAATTAACAAAGCACAAGCAATAAAAAATCTCAAATTGGCCACTAAATACTACAGGGGTGCACCAATAAACAAAAAACAAGTTGCAATAGAAATGAAGAAAAAGGCAATAAACAAATAAAAAGCTTCTTTTAATAATTTGAATGTGAGCGGTAAAAATGGCAAAAAGGGCAATAGTAAATACAATACGCTCAATTAAATAAGGATGAATCTCCACTAAATTAGGAAATTTGAGCACTAAATAACTCACTTTCGTCACCTGCAGTTGAAGATATTTTCCCATAAAAGTGGCAAAATGAGCAATGTCATATTGAATAACCGCAATAAATAAATCTAAAATGTCCCACACAAAGCGCACAGTTATCACTGTTTTAATCCAATTATGCTGTAAAATCGTGATTATTTCCCCAAGAAAAAAATGAAAATATCTTTTAAAAACTGAAAAAGTGCCAGGAACCAGGAGATAAATGTATGCTTGAACATGAGGATGAGCCATCGTAAAATATGAATCGTTCTTAAAGAAAAGAAAATAATTCATGCAGGAAAGTAAAAATGAGCAATTAAAAACGAACACTGCGCAATATAAAATCAAACAAAATTCCAATGATATTCAGGAAATATTCCTTTAAATTGAAAGTTTATGAGCCAATAACCCATATCAATTTCCATATGGTATTTTCAAGACAGCGATAAGTAGTGATACTGTGTCTTGGCTAACAACGTCGATGTCGATAAAGAAGATTAACGAATGTGGGTCTCATTGAAAAAGGTACCATTAAACAAAATCAAAAGAGCACTAAAAACAGCTGTTTGAGCAATATATACGTCCCAAAAGAGCACTAGAAAATGCCATTTGAGCAATATAAAGGTAAAAAAAAAGACACAAAAAGCACAATGAATGTCCAAGGGAAAATTTCAAAAACGCTCAACAAAAAATAAGAAATGAGCAAGAAACGTATAAAATTAGCACTCTGAAAAATAAATTGAGCATTTTATAGGCCATGAAGGCCACTAAGAACGAAAACAATATCTTTTGAAAACCTGCAAATCTTCATCGAACCATAGACAAACAGACATAACACTCGCATCTTGTACATCGAACACGCATTTAACGGTCAATTTAAATATGTGTTAGTTGATAACACCTCCGCCGGTGGCGCCCATAGTTAATTTCCTTGCGTTTGACGTTTAAACATGTACAAGATGTACAAGATGCGAGTGTTATGTCTGTTTGTCTATGGTTCGATGAAGATTTGCAGGTTTTCAAAAGATATTGTTTTCGTTCTTAGTGACCTTCATGGCCTATAAAATGCTCAATTTATTTTTCAGAGTGCTAATTTTATACGTTTCTTGCTCATTTCTTATTTTTTGTTGAGCGTTTTTGAAATTTTCCCTGGGACATTCATTGTGCTTTTTGTGTTTTTTTTACCTTTATATTGCTCAAATGGCATTTTCTAGTGCTCTTTTGTGACGTATATATTGCTCAAACAGATGTTTTTAGTGCTCTTTTGATTTTGTTTAATGGTACCTTTTTCAATGAGACCCACATTCGTTAATCTTCTTTATCAGCAACGACTTTGTTAGCCAAGACACAGTATCACTACTTATCGCTGTCTTGAAAATACCATATGGAAATTGATATGGGTTATTGGCTCATAAACTTTCAATTTAAAGGAATATTTCCTGAATATCATTGGAATTTTGTTTGATTTTATATTGCGCAGTGTTCGTTTTTAATTGCTCATTTTTACTTTCCTGCATGAATTATTTTCTTTTCTTTAAGAACGATTCATATTTTACGATGGCTCATCCTCATGTTCAAGCATACATTTATCTCCTGGTTCCTGGCACTTTTTCAGTTTTTAAAAGATATTTTCATTTTTTTCTTGGGGAAATAATCACGATTTTACAGCATAATTGGATTAAAACAGTGATAACTGTGCGCTTTGTGTGGGACATTTTAGATTTATTTATTGCGGTTATTCAATATGACATTGCTCATTTTGCCACTTTTATGGGAAAATATCTTCAACTGCAGGTGACGAAAGTGAGTTATTTAGTGCTCAAATTTCCTAATTTAGTGGAGATTCATCCTTATTTAATTGAGCGTATTGTGTTTACTATTGCCCTTTTTGCCATTTTTACCGCTCACATTCAAATTATTAAAAGAAGCTTTTTATTTGTTTATTGCCTTTTTCTTCATTTCTATTCCAACTTGTTTTTTGTTTATTGGTGCACCCCTGTAGTATTAAGTGGCCAATTTGAGATTTTTCATTGCTCATTTCGCTTTTTTTATTGATGATTAATTGTGCTGCCAAAAGCTAGCCTTATGCTCCATGTCCTAGTGAAGTGGGAATACTTCAGGAAGACTGGAGGAAATTTCCAAAACCTCTCCCAGTGCCGTAAGTGCCAGGGATGGGGTCACGGCACTAAAAATTGCTACATGGCTGCTAAATGCATGAATTGTGGTGATTCCTCTCACGCAAAGGACGACTGTCATGTGAAGGAAGATCCTAAGAAATTTAAATGTTCAAATTGTGGTGAAAATCACAAATCCAATTTTTGGGAATGCAAGATTCGCAAAACGATCCTTCAATCTCGTTCTAAGCTATAGGTAGGAAACGCTCCACGTTTCCGACCAGGTACAAATTCTTCTGCTGTTAACAACGGTCAGCGAGGAACAAATTCTACATTCGTACCCGTAGGTACAAATATCACCCCTGCTTCAAATTTTTCATCTATACCTATTCCCTCGCTGCTAACAATGTTCAGTGAGTTAATGTAGCTACCTATGCTGCTATTGCACCGGGTAGAAATCAAAATACTAACCAACGTTCTAATGGAAATTTTGACTTAGGAAGCATTACTGCCCCTAATATGGAATTTTTACAGAAATCATTATTTGATATGATTTCCGATATGCTTAAATCTAACTCCATATTTGATGCTATTCAAACTGGAGTAAAATTTGCAAACAATATTGTCATGACTTTAAAATTCAGTAATGGATTTTAAAGCATTAAATATTTTAAATTGGAATGCAGGATCTCTTAAAAATAATGAAGACGAGCTATTTAACTTTTTGAGAGTTCATAACGTGCATATTGCCGTTATAACTGAAACGTTCCTGAAACCTGACCATAAGGTTAAGAAGGACGCAAATTATTTCATTTATAAAAATGATCGTTTTTGAAACTTTGGGTGTTTCTGTTGAAACAAAATTTGGACAACTTACGTTTATAGCTGCCTATTTGCCATTCCAATGCGTAGGCCAGCAAAAGAATTTTCTCAAGGGTGACCTTCAGAAACTTACCCGTCATAGGTCTAAATTCTTTATTATTGGTGATTTTAATGCAAAACACCGCTCATGGAATAATGCTCAAAGCAATTCCAATGGTAATATTCTGTTTGATGATTGTTATGCAGGTTATTACACTATTCAATATCCAAACAGCCCAACATGCTTTTCTTCTGCAAGAAATCCCTCCACTATTGATTTGGTCTTAACTGATTCATGTCAACTTTGTAGCCAATTGGTTACCCATACTGACTTCGGTTCTGATCACCTTCCATAACTTTTAAAATATCCCAAGAAATAATTTTTAATCCCAACAGCTCGACTTTCAATTACCATAGAGCTGATTGGGAGCAGCATCGAACATTTATGGAATATAACTTCGATCCAAACATTCCTTTGCAAGCCAAAGATGAAATTAATTATGCTCTTGAATTTCTGACTACTTCTATAGTTGAAGCAAGAGCTGCCTCAGTACCAAAATGCGAGGTTAAATTAGATACAATTATAATAGACGACGATCTTCAGCTCTTGATCCGTCTTAAAAATGTCCGTAGGAGACAATATCAAAGAACACGCGATCCTGCCATGAAAGTTACCTGACGGAATATGCAAAAACAAATTAAAAAGCGATTCTCTGCAATGAGGAACAAAACTTTTGAAAATAATGTCTCTAAGTTAGACCCGAGTTCCAAACCCTTTTGGAAACTCACAAAAATTTTGAAAAAACCTCATAAACCTATTCCAGCGCAGCGAAGGTGGTAAAATTTTGATCACAAATTTGGAAAAAGCTCAGAAACTTGCTAAGCAATTCGAGAGTTCCCATAATTTCAGTTTGGGTCTTACTAGTCCTATTGAGAATCAGGTTGCTCGGGATTATCAGAATATTTTTTATCGGGAAAATATTTTTGATGATTCCTGGGGGACTGATTTGGACGAAGTAAGGTCTATAACTAAAAAGTTTCAAAATATGAAAGCTCCAGGTGATGATGGAATTTTCTATATCCTCATCAAAAAACTCCCAGAGAGTATCTTGTCTTTCTTGGTAAAATTATTTAACAGATGTTTCCATTTGGCATACTTTCCTGATAAATGGAAAAATGCAAAAGTTGTTCCAATTTTGAAGCCGGATAACAATCCAGCTGAAGCTTCTAGCTACCGTCCAATAAGTTTGCTTTCTTCAATAATAAACTTTTTGAAAAGATAATTTCAAATAGAATGATGCTTCACGAACTCAATTTTTGCAGATGAGCAGTTTGGATTTCGCCATGGGCATTCAACTACTCATCAACTCTTAAGAGTTACCAATTTAATTCGTTCAAACAAATCTGAAGGCCACTCAACTGGAGTTGCTCTTTTAGACATAGAAAAAGCATTCGACAGTGTTTGGCTTAAAGTTTTGATTGCTAAATTGAAAAAGTTTAATTTTCCACTCTATATTATGAAATTGGTTTAAAAATTATTTAACTGACAGAACTCTGCAGGTAAATTATCAAAATTCCAAATCTAATCGACTACCTGTTAGAGCAGGAGTTCCTCAGGATAGCATTCTTGGACCTATATTGTATAATATTTTCACTTCGGACCTCCCTAATTTGCCTCAGGGTTGCCACAAATCTTTGTTCGCTGATGACACAGGCATTTCTGCTAAAGGATGAAGTCTTCGTGTTATTTGCAGCAGACTGCAGAAAAGTTTAGATATTTTCTCTTCTTATTTACAAAAATGGAAGATTTCTCCCAACGCTTCCAAAACTCAACTTATAATATTTCCACATAAGCCTAGAGCTTCGTTGTTGAAACCTAGTAGTAGTCACATAGTCACTATGAACGGAGTTCCAATTTCCTGGTCAAACCAAGTGAAATATCTTGGATTAATACTTGACCAAAAATTAACTTTTAAAGATCACATTGAGGGCATTCAAGCCAAATGTAACAAATATATAAAATGTTTGTATCCTCTTATAAACAGGGAATCCAAACTTTGCCTGACGAATAAACTTTTAATATTTAAACAAGTTTTTAGACCGGCCATGCTTTACGCTGTGCCACTACAAGGAAAAAAGCACTTCAAAGAATTCAGAACTAAGTTCTGAAGATGATTTTGAAGTTGCCTCCCTGGTACAGTACTACCGAAGTACATAGAATTTCGAATGTTGAGACTTTAGAACAAATGTCCAACAAAATAATTAGTAATTTCAGGCAAAAAAGGTAGCAATCCTCAATTGCAACGATTAATTCCCTTTATACTTAGATAAGATTTAGCTTTAGTTTTTAGTTTTAAGATTTCAATTGTTATACTGACATACAAGTTTAAAAAACCTTTTTAAAATACTGAATTGCAAAGACAGGAACAATTTAAAAACACTTAGATATATATCATAACAATCAAGGCTGGTAAGTTACTGTAGTAACTGGAGCACCGAGGTTAAAATGAAATGTAATTTATTTTGAATTTTAAACAAATAAAGAGCTAAAAAAAATCAAATGCTCCTTGAACAGTGAACGCTGCTAGTGACATTTCTTTTGATTCAAAAGATTTGCAAGTGTTACTTGGGATACTAATGCAAAAATGGTACAGGCAGGCACAAATACAGTTACAGTTCTTAATTCAGAGTACTATCTGAATTGAGAACTGTGGAAATGCTCAAATAACACCAACTTAATGATTAAATGACGTAGCATTTTAAAGGGAGGAGGCCATGTTATGTGTCTGCTCCCTTAGTGCATATATCCACTTCATGAGCCCTATTTTTACAAAAAAAATATAATAACGGTAACCCATTTATTTAATTGTTACTCTTTAAGTGGGTAAAGTTAGGCAAAACTATAAACGACATCTTTAGGTTTACATCTTTTAATTAAAATGCCCATAATTACCTACAAACCTGCTTGGTCAGGAGCATTAAGCTATTGAAAATGAGCTATAGACAAGTGGAAAGCAGCAATATTTTTCACCAGTAAATCACACCGGTATTTTTGTATTACAAATAAATCAATAATCGGGATAATGCCCCCAATGTTGGGCTCATACATAAATTTAGAAGGAAATGTTGCCAAACCTATGGTTTCCCAAGTTCACATCATAACCGCATGCAAGCTAGAATGCTATCAGACTTTATAACCCCACACCTGTGTGTATGACTTACCGTCCTTCAGAAACATGATATGCCGGCTGGTTTGCGTTCCGTTGAAACCGTGAATGATTATGACCGTCTCTCGGTGTGGTCTGAATCCGGCTTTGAAAAACGTCTTTGGTCGGTTCATGTCCACAACCCGGCCTCGCTTCACGGTGCTGCAAAGGAAAACAGATAAACAAAACCACTTGTCACTCACTTTGGTTGTTTTTCCATTGGGCATTCGGCAAGCAACGACAGCGCGCGCGTTTGCGAGAAATCGTTCGATCCAATTATGATGTGATACACATTGAGCAATGACAATGAAACAGCTAAATGGGATGGAAGAACCATTATAACACACCCACAACAGCCGTTACAACGACTAAACATAATGATTACCAGCAAAGTAAGCCCGGAGAGAAATGTTTTCACAGCTCGTTCCCGAGATAATGGATCTTATTCAATGCGATTAATATGGTATGTCGATGATTTCATATTACATGGCGTCCTTCCGCGACATTCTATCACTCACAAAGGCTTCATGTAACCATGACTTTTGATTTCATACGACAAGCGGTGACAATCGCACAAGATTTATTGGATTATTGTTTTACTTGTTTTTCTACAACCTTGCATGAAATGAAAATTTTTCCCATCGCCGTCGCCGTCGTCGTCGACCCGGTGAATCGAATCGAAAACAAAACTTTTCCTGTTTGTTTTTCCATCGTCAGCTTAGGTTCGCGGATTAGTTCAAAGGTGTATTACTAGCTAAAGACAAAACGGGACCCATACGGTCGGTTGAACATCTTTTATTCATTTCTTGCTTCTGGTGACTGTTTGGCCACATTGACGAGCAAGAGTTTCGCTGGGGATTGAAAGTGAAACCCTCGGTCGCGGTATTCCCGACCAAATCTCACATGTCACCTAGGCACTGCAACGGTGGCAAAAGGGTAAGTTTGTGCAAATTCGTTATAACGATACACGCGTGTTGCATCGATGCAGAGCGCAGCCGGTGATGGCATCGTACTCGGAAGACACGATCTTGCCATCCCGTCGTCCGCGTCTCGTGTTGTCGTCGGCGGAATGTTTTAATGAACATATTCGTTAAACAGTAAGCAATTCGAGGAGCGAGAAGACAGCATTTTCACAGTAGCTTCTTGGGACGTTGAACTGTTTGGAACGATACTGAAGAAATTTTCTCTGAGATACTTATTTCAAGCTGAACATTGTATTAGGTCCTAAGTAACGATTCTCTTCATCGACTTTCCCGTTCGTTAATAACTTGAGCACATAGCCGTTTTTTTGTTGTGTGTTGTCGTATCAGATGCTAGATAAACGCTTCTTTTACCGATCTGTGTGCTAAAAATACCTGGGAATGTCTTTATATGGTCGTGGGGATGCAAAGTGAAAGTCGACGAAGAGAATCTGTCAATGTTACTTAGGACCTAATGCAATGTTCAGATTGATTTGTCTTCATCCTGTTTTTTCATGATTATGTCATCACGTTTTGTGTGTTTTGAGAGACCCTCTGTTTTTTTTTATTTTAAACGAGATTCGAACTATATCAATTGATTTTAATGTAGATGAAGCATGGAAGTAATCAATCAAAATTACAAAACCTTCAGCTCAGGACTAGTTTGGGACTTTTTTTATTTTTAAATATTTTTTTTCTATAAAAATTGCAATTAGATAAAATCTACGAAATGTTGTTAATGATGTAGTCATAGAAAATGGTCTGATTTTTATAACAAAAAATGCGATGAATCAATACAAACTCTATAAGTAATATAATCTTCCATTTCTCGGTTGAATGTACAAAGTTTTATTGAAATCTGGTGCTGAGAACTTCACAGACGTTTTGAGATTAAATTCATCAAATTGGAATTGATCGAATTTTAGTAAATTTATGATAACGCCAATATTTTTAGCCCACATTTCTTGAAATCATACGAATTTTTTTTTGTTCGAACAACCACTCGGGGTTACGCCTACCGGTCGCATGTGTAGTGTCTCGGTTTATTACCTTTTGTTGTCGCCGCAGTATGAAAAATTCAAAATGGTTGAAATGAAGGTTACAATTGAATTTGACTTTCCCAATAGAAGTGCGGAGCCCACATACCAAGGGAATAAGTACTTAAAATGATACTCAAGTACTCATTCCCTTGAAGCTTCACGCTAAGGGGGTTAGATTTCAATAATCTTCAGTGGGAATGACACATTAGGGTGCGGTTTATTTTCAAAAGTTCATGAAACCTAAAAATCGTTCCGAATTTCTTGGAAAGAGATGTCCTTGAGTGTTACCGTCTGGGTAACACGCGTTTGCAGTGCTATAAAGAACGAGACAGCAATCCACTATTATACTGCTGTTCGGTACGCTCAAGCCTGAGAACCATGAAAGTTTGTAATCAGTAATGATTGAACTAATGTTTGCTTAGAATTAATGAACATAAACTCCAGTATGAACGGTCGAATTAAATACAGAAACACGCCAACTGTTATACACCTACACTTAGCATACATAAAACAACACCCACCACCCGGATCATGGAGGAGAAAGGAAATTTGGAATGGGACTAATGGATCAAGAAGGAAAGGACATTTTGGGAAAAGGGAAATATATGGTCTGCTACCGGTCCGAAGAATAGAACTAGTGCATTTCCACGCCAACCTTTGAGTTAATAAGTTCACCAAGTTGAAGAACAAAGTTTATAACTTCACATAGTGAATAAATAGTGAACAGTCGAATACGTATCCTTTGAAACCGTAGAAACAGGTAGCAAACTATAAAACGGACTCCGGTAGCATAACCTTAAATAGACCCTTTTCCTACTGCCCACGTGCCCGCAGGACCCATTGAGTTTTACCTCACAGCCGTGTGTAAATCAGCCCGAGATCGCACCGGGCCAGATAGTGCTCGATCGACCGACTACACGTGTCAACGAGTCGAAGTTCAGCCTTGGTAGGGAACCAAGTACCGCGAGGAGTTCGCAGCGACAGGACCCCGTGCCATCCTACACTGATACCACTGTCCGTGGCAACCGTGCCATTCATCGCATTCATAGCCGCCCCGTTCGATTTCCCGCAGCAGAGATCCCCGTGCCGGTCGGCCCTTACACACATACGCATACACCCAGAAATTGTAAGTAAGGTTGTTGTAAGGTTTTGGTAAATAAAACTCAACTTGTGAAAGAGTAGGTGACCGTGTTTGAACTTGCTGATCAGTGTCCCATATTTGTCCGGAGTCGACCTTGAGAGCTCCGTCTCTCAAACTCGAGCTAGTCACCGCAAAAGAGGCTGGTGGATAGCCTACCCCGTCTGGTCCCCGTGGCTTTAGACCAGGGACCTGGGGCATTGTAGTAATAGAAAGAGAGAGCCCTCAGAGAATAAAATGAGCATGAAGCAAAACTATGTAGATTTAGATGTGGTGTAAACGTCTTGATGGTGGATTTATGGCTTTTACTAAAATCATTGTGACCTCAACCTCTACTAAAATCATTGTAGGTGTATCATTTTTCAACCAACTTTAGATCTGTTTGCACTATTCTCTTTATAGCTAAAAAAATGTTTATAGAATAAAATATCTGTCTAATTCTGCACCGAGTATGATTTTAACGTGATTTAACCCACAAATAACAATTAAACTGCCCTTACTTGTCATTTTTTGACTAAATTCATATCTTGTAGTACCAATTTAAAGAAATTATGTGTAAATTGTATTGACATAAAGTATTTTGTAAATGGAATATTAATAAAAAATGTTCAAGGGAGTAACAAATTTGGATTATTGAAATCGTTATAAAGACAATAAAGTGTACTAAAAACATTTAGAACAAAACATACCTTTAATATAAAATCAAGAGCCACATGTGAAAAGGGCATACAAGCTTTTTTAAACAAGCTTTTTTAGGCCCTTTTCTCACCAATCGAGGGTCGCCACGCAAACCAACAACATTATCGGGAAGGTAAATAGAAGAAGTATTTAGTACACATAATTATTAGGGTGGGTCATCATGATTATTTTTTCAGAACAATGTTTTTTGGGTCTCATTTGGAGTCCCAAACAACTGTGAAAATTTTTAAGACGATTGATTGTAAAACGGCATTTTTTTTCCTCTGTTCGAGACCTAACACTCTGCGACCAGTAAATTGATCTATTGTAGTATATCCCGTGTCCTTAGTTTAGTGCATGTCGTATTACTCCATCACTATTGAGAAATGATGAAGTATTATTCGATTTTTTTACAGTTGCCACTCTTGCATTTATCGCAAGGATCCGAATCTAATTGAAAGGTTCCGCTATTTATAACCTTCGGAGTGTTGAACCACCCTCCAAAGGCGCGCCCCTTTGTCAGTCAAAATTAGATTCCTAAGCAACAAAATTAAGGAATGACACCGATAATGACCATGCATCAGAACCCTAGTCTTAACCACTTCAAACTAGGGAACAACGAATAGAAGATTAGGAATCACATAGATGAAGACAACTAACTCATTTTTTTCCTTGTTTCAAGATCATCCTCGGTAGACAAAGCCGAGTCTTGTCACTATAAACAAGGCATAAAAAGTAACAAGGACTAAGATGTGTTCCTTGGATTACTGAAAAATCCTGTTCGTCTAGTTTGAAGTAGCAAGGACTAGGAATCGGTGGTAGATCTTACATCCCATAACGTACCACGAAAAGGTGATCTACCCACGCTACGGGGCAACACCGGCAAACAGCTTTCCGCATTGCATTTGAAATTTACAGTTGTGTTCGATAAAATAGCACCGCATGCTGATTGTCATACAAAATGGTCAACTTTGACATGATGTAACTTTGTTAACTTATGATTAATTGAGCTGAAACGTTCGCCAAAGAACTACAAATATGTTCAATATTACGATTACAAAATATTAAATTTTTGGAAACACCTGCCCGAAAGTGAGACACCAGGTAAAATTGATCAAAATAATTCAAAAACGATTCAATGCGGATAGCCTGTTGTGTGGAAAATTGGGGTGTGTTATCATGGGCGATGAAACATACGTCAAATTTGACTACAATACGCTTCCGGAAGACCAATACTACACAGTCCGTGATCGTCAAGAAGTTGACGATGCCAATAAGTCAATTTTTCCGAAAAATGTGGTAAGAAGTCCATGGTTTGACAAGCGATATGTGCGTGTGGCAAGTTGT